AAAAAAAAAAAAGGGAAAAAAACGTTGTCCAGTCTAAATGTCCCGGTTCTCACCAAAACGCCTTTCCATGAACAAAGGGAATAACAAAATATCTGGCTTTCGGTTCTCACCAAAAGCCAGGAGAATCCTTTTCCATGAATAAAGGGAATAACGATTAATTATCCTTGCAGCTAGGGAATGGTTGAGAGTCCTACTCCCCACTACCATAAAGGGTATATGGTTTGATTTATTATTTTATATTATAAATTTTAAGTTTGAATATTAAAATTTTATTATAAATTTTAAGTTTGAATGTTAAAATTAATAAAGAAGGGTTTAAAAAAAGGAATTATTTTTATTATATAATTAATTTCTGATATATTAAAAAAAGCTATTTGTAAAGTAAATTAGAGAGTATTACATATTCACAAGCAATTATTTTTAGCAGTAAGTGTAGAAAGTAATTAACACTTAATAAACAGTATTATTAGGATTAAAACAATTAAAATAATTTAACATAAAAAATATAAAAATATTTAATTATAATTTTTAAATATATAAAATATAATATGAGACTTAAATCATTACATCCATCGTCAACATTGCTAGCAGAAAAATATGCCTCGAACATAAAACACCTAATTCATCCAACTGAACCCACTCAAAGTTGGTTTTCAGTTTAATAATTAAAAAGCTTTGGTAGTAAAGTTTTGCTTCGAATTACGTGCTTAGGATAAATTGGAATATAACATAATATGTTGAATAAGAAAATTTTATATTGGTTATATAATAAAAAATTTATAAATTAAATATAAATAAAATTATTTTATTTATTATCAATTAATTTTAAATTAAATAAAAACTTTGTGGCGATGCTACATGTACAATTTGAAGTCTACATAACAGTTTGGAGAATATCCATTCAAATCCACAAATCCAACAACTCTGAAAAAAAAAAAAATACTAGTAATAGAAATGGAACAAAAGAATAATACGAATCTACAATCTCACCACTGCAAATGAAAACTGCCTCGCCTTTCCCTTTCTCTGTGCGACAACCGAATGCAAGAAAGAGAAAAAAATTAGAAAAGAAGTACCAAAGTGAATTGTAGACAGAGGAAAAGGAGCTGTTAAATCTTCAACAATGGCGGTTCATACTGGTTCTAGGGTTTTGTGATCAACAGTTACTTCCAAAATTCTCCATGGAAATGCCCGGTCGAAGATCCAACTACTCTCTCCTTAGCCAGTATCCGGAATCTGTGTCGATCTCCGGTCCTCGGCCGTCGTTTTACGATTCTCAATCCAGCGAAAGCACTACTACCAAAAGTAGCATCAGTAAGACGAAATCTGATAGGTTATTACACGATTGGGATCAGAACCAGCAGACATCTAATCGAATCGGGGGTGGTGGTATCTTTCCATCGTCGATCGGTTCGCAGCGGCAATCAAGTGGTAGCAGTTTCGGAGAGAGCTCGCTCTCCGGAGAATATTATGCACTTACTCCGTCTGCTGCGGCAACAAACGAGATCGACACGTTCAGCTATGGACCAGAAGACAGCTCGAGGTCAGTGGACCTGAGAATGAAGGCCACAGATGGTCCAGGAGGCTCGGCATCGGGGAAGAGCTGGGCGCAGCAAACGGAGGAGAGTTACCAGTTGCAGTTGGCGTTGGCTCTAAGGCTTTCTTCCGAGGCTACCTGCGCGGATGATCCGAATTTTTTAGATGCGGTTCCAGATGAGTCTGCGTTGCAGACGGTCAGTTCGAGCTCTGCAGAGACAGTGTCCCATCGATTTTGGGTAAGTTCTAAAGACTCTCAGTTACCGTGTAATTGGACAATGCCTCGCTTTTTTGCTTTTTTGCTTTTTTGCGGAGTTATTTACGGGTGTTGAAGTGTGTCTAGATTACAGGCTGTAACGTTGTTTTTGATTGTTAGGTTGTTGCATAAGGGGGTATAAGTGATGATATTGATTGTGGGGTTATTGCATAAGGTATATAGACCAGGGTATTAATTGCAACTGGGAATACGCTTGTAGGTAGGTAATTTAGTTTAATTGGTGGTCCTTAGTCCTCATTCCTCTTTCGTGTGTTGAATCAGTTAGGTGTAGATAATATCTCAAAACAAGTGTCCCTAGTCTGAACTTCATGTTCAGTAATGCTATGAGATTGGCCAAAGATGCAAAGGAAAATGAGTATTTGTTACGTTGAGTAGATACCTTCTTAGATTTAAAGATTTGTTTCTGTAATGGACCAAATAATGCATGTCATGTGATTCTTGTTTCACGAACAAAACATTACATATTTCTTATTTTAGTTGTGAGAAATTCTGATTTATAGAGTTAGACATGGGGACCACATTTTTGCTTAAGGTTAAATTCACATAATTTCTCCTAAAGAAAAATGATAAGTTGGACATAATGAAATGATCCGGCTAGCTGTAATAAGAAAATCACGTGTTTTGAGAAGGAAGAGTAGAACCCATGGAGGGCAAGATTAGGTTGTTATGGTTCAGCCTCTTGCTCAATGAATTAGGGATGGTGACATCGTGTTAGTATTACAGTGACGAATGAGATGGAAATCTAATAAAGACGGAAATTACTACTCAATTAATACCTCGCTCTAGGCATCTTTTACTGTTGTCTGTTAAACTATGGGTTGTCTAGGTAATACTGAATGGTTTGACTTGGTATGAACTTCAACCCAATGGCAATGGATATGGCATATATGGTGCACGTATGTAGATGTTTGTTAGATTAGCCATGGGTAGTCTAGTGTCTATGGCATTATGTTTCTATTTGTAAATTTTGAACAGGAAATTGTTATATTAAAGAAGTACCATGTTTGAAATTGGAACATAAATTCATTTTTTGAAAAATTATAGGATGTTTAGGACACAATGAGAAGATAAGATGAACACTTTGGAAGAAGTATGTTGCATTAGAAATCAAATAGCCTATCTTTTCTTGCCTATGGTTTAATCAAATTTATTAAGTTCTTCATGTGCTGACCTAAAAAAAAAAAAGTTCTTGGATGGAAGTAAGTAAAGGTGTCTAATGTCAGTACACTCCAGGTAATGGTTTGACATGTTTCCAAGATATATATATATATATATATATATATTAACGGACCAAGTCCAACAGCCAACCCAGCAGCAATAACTGAAGCGGCA